GAGTTCCAAAGAAGAGCAAGAAGATATAAGAAAGCCTTCCTCAGTGATCAATGCAAAGAAATAGAGGAAAACAATAGAATGGGAAAGACTAGAGATCTCTTCAAGAAAATTAGAGATACCAAGGGAACATTTCATGCAAAGATGGGCACAATAAAGGACAGAAATGGTATGGACCTAACAAAAGCAGAAGATACTAAGAAGAGGTGGCCAGAATACACAGAAGAACTATACAAAAAAGATGTTCATGACCCAGATAATCATGATGGTGTGATCACTCACCTAGAGCCAGACATCCTGTGAGCCTTAGGAAGCATCACTACTAACAAAGCTAGTGGAGATGATGGAATTCCAGTTGAGCTATTTCGAATCCTAAAAGATGATGCTGTGAAAGTGCTGCACTCAGTATGCCAGCAAATTTGGAAAACTCAGCAGTGGCCACAGGACTGGAAAAGGTCAGTTTTCATTCCAATCCCAAAGAAAGGCAATGCCAAAGAAGGCTCAAATTACCACACAATTGCACTCATCTCACATGCTAGTAAAGTAATGCTCAAAATTCTCCAAGCCAAGCTTCAGCAATATGTGAACAGTGAACTTCCAGATGTTCAAGCTGATTTTAGAAAAGGCAGAGGAACCAGAGATCAAATTGCCAACATCCGCTAGATTACTGAAAAAGCAAGATAGTTCCAGAAAAACATCTATTTCTGCTTTATTGACTATGCCAAAGCCTTTGACTGTGTGGATCACAACAAACTCTGGAAAATTCTGAAAGAGATGGGAATACCAGACCACCTGACCTGCCTCTTGAGAAACCTGTATGCAGGTCAGGAAGCAACAATTAGAACTGGACATGGAACAACAGACTGGTTCCAAATAGGAAAAGGAGTACGTTAAGGCTATATATTGTCACCCTGCTTATTTAACTTATATGCAGAGTACATCATGAGAAACGCTGGTCTGGAAGAAGCACAAGCTGGAATCAAGATTGCCAGGAGAAATACCAATAACCTCAAATATGCAGACAACACCACCCTTATGGCAGAAAGTGAATAGGAACTAAAAAGCTTCTTGATGAAAGTGAGAGAGGAGAGTGAAAAAGTTGGCTTAAAAGCTCAACATTCAGAAGTCCTCTTGAAGGTCACCATTAACCCTGCAATAGAGTCCACAGACCCCAGGGATGAGCTGCCTCAGGCCAAACCCCACCCATCAGCAGATAATTGGATTAAAGTTTTACTAAGCATGCCTCTGCCCACCAGAGTAAGACCCAATTTTTCTCACTACCAGCCTCTCCCATGAGGAAGCTTATACAAGCTTCTCAGCCTCCTCCATCAGAGGGCAGACAGAAGAAGCAAGAATTACAATCCCACAATAGCTAGAAAACCACTAGTAGCTAGAAAGTTAACCAGGATGAAAAAGCAGAGGGTTTTGTCCCAGATGAAAGGGCAAGCTAAAGTTCCAGAAAAACAACCAAATGAAAAAAAAATCAGAATATTGATAGTGAAGATGATCTAGGATCTCTGAAAAAGAATGGAAGCAAAGATTGAGAAGATGCAAGAAATATTTATCAAAAACCTAGAAGAACTAAAGAACAAACACAGATGTACAATACACTAGAAGAACTCTAGAGCAGAATAATTGAGGCAGAAGATAAGATAAGTGACCTAGAGGACAGAATGGTAGAAATCACTACCACAAAACAGAATATAGAAAAAAGAATAAAAAGAAATGAAGACAGCCTAACTCACCTCTGGGACAACACTAAATAACACCAACATTCACATTATTGGGGTCCCAGAAGGAGAAGAGGGAAAGGACCTGAGAAACTACTTGAAGAGATAACAGCTGAAGATTTGCCTAGCATGGGAAAGAGAACAGTAAACCAAGTCCAGGAAGCACAGAGCATCCCCAGCAGCATAAACCCAAGGAGGAGCACACTAAGACAACATAGTAATCAAATTGAAAACAACTAAATACAAATACAAAATATTAAAAGCAACAAGGAAAAAACAACAAACAATATACAAGGGAACTCCCATAAGGTTATCAGATGATATCTCAACAAAAACTCTACAAGCCAGAAGGGAATGACATGATATATTTAAAGTGATGAAAGGGAAGAACCTACAACCAAGAATACTCTACCAGCAAGACTCTCCTTCAGATTCGATGGAGAAATCAAAATCTTTCCAGACAAGCGAAAGTTAAGAGAATTCAGCACCACTAAATCAGCTTTACAACAAATACAAAAGGAACTTCTCCAGGCAGAAAATATGAAAAGGAAAAGGCCTACAGAAAATGAGCCCAAAATAATTAAGAAAGTGGTAAAAGGATCACACGTATCAATAATTTCCTTAAATGTAAATGGATTAATTGCACCAACCAAAAGACATTTACAGTCAGGGCAGAGGAGAACATGTGCATGTATGTACTTCCACTTATCACATCACTCTACTTAACCCACCAAATTATATGTAATTATTTTCTATTGCTAGGTTAATCATGTTTCCATTGTGGCTTGTAATTGTAAATTATCTTTTATTTTTTGTCTGGCTATTGACTGTGAAAACTGATAAACATTTTTTTACTATTGTGATTATGTAGCATACATGATATGCTATTATGCAGAATATGTGATACAGTATTATTAACTAAAGTACAGATTTTGTTCAAATTTCACAAAATTTTATGCTAGTATCCACTATTTGTTTTCATATCTCATTCAAGACTTCACATTGTATTTAATTGCATTGAGCAGCTTCAGCTGCATGCAAAAAATTCTGGTAAATTTCCTTTTCCTTTTTATTCTATTACAAGTATTTTCTAATTTTCCTGGTTATGGCTTCTTAGATATACCCATCATTTAAAAGTGGACATTTAATTTCAAAATACATGGGATTTTGTTTAAAGTACCTTCAATATTAATTTCTCATTTTGATACTAATTTCTCATGTAAATACTTTCTTCTTTTCAATCATCCTCTGTTTTTTTTAGTCTAACTTTATTGAGGCTTTTGACGGCTAAGTCAAAGATCTCTCCTGATAAATGTCACATGGCACCTGAAAATATGTTATTTTCAAATATCATTTGATATCAATATCTAACATAATTCCACAGTGATAAGAGAATAGACCCTGCATGATTTCAAAATTTTTAGACCATGAAATTTTGGCACCTTGTTTTATGTCCCTGGATACGTTCCAGTGTCTCCTAGTTTACAGTCTATAGGAACTTGAATAAAATTTGTATCCTACTATTGTGTGAAAATTGTATAAATTTTAATTATGCTGAATCGGTTCACAGTGCTTTTCAGATCTACTATACCCTTCTACTTCTCTATATTCTATTAATTTATGAGAGTTTGAAACTCCAACTAAAAATCTTAACTTCTCTACTTAAAAAAAAATTATAATATATAGTGGAACTATATGTAACATTGTTCTGTATTTTCCAAGTCTCCTGTGAATGTGTTATAATACTTCCACAATTTAAAAAAATTAAAAATTAAAAAATAAAAACAAAGCTACTCAGATGCTCATGCCCTGGGATCAATTTTTAATGAATGAATAAAAGGAAAAAAATGTATATTGAGAGATGATGATCATAGACAGGATATGGTTCAGGGTGTGCTAAGGATCCCACAGGAAGGGGCAGGAAAGTAATGTTCCATTTTGGCCAAGAATGTTTCTCTATTAACATCAGTAATGGTAAAGAGAAACCTATAAAAGAAATTCCCCCCACAAACACCTTAGGAAACATTCTGAATTGCATGTACTGCATAAACATTTTCTCTCAAATAAAAGATTTGACAATTGAGGGACATACAGCCCTCAATGGTATCTGATAACATCAAAATCAGTTATTTTTAACTGATACAGTAACAGGCAAATACCTACCATATGAGCTCAGCATTAAGAGCAAGTTCAGATCTAACAAAAAAATTTTACACTTGTCATATTTTTTATGATAGGCAACACAAAATTTAATTAGACCAACTGACACTATTTTTTGTAACTGATAATAATACAGAAGTATCCTACCTGGCGTCTGTTTAGGCAGTCAGTAAATGTTAACTCCATTTGATTATGTCAAGGTCACAAACTGCCTAGTCTTAGGGATTAGAAAATCTTTCCTTTATGATATATATTCATTCAGTGACTACTTATTGCAAACTTCTCAAAATCCTTCAAACCCAACTTGTTCCAAGTTCAAGCCCAAACTCCTCAGCCTGGATTTCAGGATTTTGGTTGAACTACCTCCATTCAGACTCAGAGTGGGTAAAAGCAAAACCTTCAGAGCTGAGGCAAGTAATGAATGAATGAAGCAGGCACTTCAGCCATGGGGTCAAGGGGCACAAGAGGCTGTGACTACACCATGGGGATCTGTTTGGTTCCAGCTACTTGTCATATGCACCAAGAATGTGGACTCAGGACTTAGGTGTACTCTTTCAATTTTTAAGTGTGGAAAACTCATTTAAATATAAAGCATGGGGCCAGCCAAATTATAGCTACCCATGAATCACCAGCAGACAGTAGTTCAGCATCCTCACCTCTACACAGAGAAAACTGATGTAACAAAAGGCCACGGACTGCTCCAAGCTTCCCATATGATGAGCGACAGCCTGCAGATCCCCTGGTCTCAGAGACGGGCTAGGCTTCCAGTCACATTCTCACAGAAATATATTCCTTCAGCTCTTCAACTTGCCAAATCTTCAGGGGCAGCTCAGGCAGCTCCTCCTTTGAAAGACTTCCTTCACTCTTTTAGGCCCTGGAATCACTGGGCACATAACCATGATTGTGTTTTAACTGTGCCGATGACAATTTACTACTTGATGAATGTATAGCTCATGAATGGACCAGAGGAGTCTGAGAAAAGGCTCCAGGCAAGATAAGTCACACCTCCAAGATCAGGGCTAGGTACAGCCTAACACCATCAAGGCAGCTCCAGTAAAAAATAAAAGAAATGGGTCCATCCTATAAGAGCTAGGAAGAAATTTTAGGACTCACCTCATCCCTAGTAGTCAGGAGCCCTGGGACCATGTTCTTAGTCTGGTGAGTGCTCTTCTTAGAGAAGACTTGTTGCATAGGCAGAGCTGGAGAAACAGAAGAGAAGTAAAGGGATGTGTGGGAGGAATATCCATCTATCCAGCCTCCCAGTTTAGCAGAGGCAAGAAGGAGGTAAGGAAAGCAGGCTGAAGATGGCATTAGAGGCACCCCTTCTTTTTTTAATTTAAAAAACTATGTCTTATTGGCATATATTTGACACAAAATTATACACATATTTAAAGTATACAGCTTAGTAAATTTGAAATACTTATCACCTGTGAAAACATCACAACACTGCGGAGAGTAAATTTATCAGTCATTTCCAAAAATGATCAATGTGCTCGTTTGTAATCTTTCACTCCCCTCCCCAATAGCATTGATCTGCATTTTGTCATCAAAGATTTCTTACATTTGCATTTTCCAGAGTTTTTTCCTTATTTAAATTGGAGGATAACTGCTTTACAATATTGTGTTGATTTCATCCATACATCAACATGAATCAGCCATAGGTGTATATATATATATATATATATATATATGTCCCCTCTCTCTTGAACCTCCTCCCACATCCCACCCCATCCCATCCTTTTAGGTTGTCACAGATTATGTTTGAGCTTGATGAGTCACACAGCAAACTCCCACTGGGTATTTATATATATGGTGATGTGCATGTTTCAGTGCTACTCTCTCAATTTGTCCCACCCTCTCCTCCCCAACTCTGTCCACAAGCCTGTTCTCTATGTCTGTGTCTCCACTGCTGCCCTGCAAACAGGTACATCAGTGCCATCTTTCTAGATTTCATATATACACATTAATATATGATATTTGTTTTTCTCTTTCTGACTTGCTTCACTCTGCATAATAGGCTCAAGGTTCAACCACCTCATTAGAACTGACCCAAATGTGTTCCTTTTTATGGTTGAGTAATATTCCATTGTATTCCAATGTACAACTTCATTATCCATTCATCTGTTGATGGACATCTACTTTGCTTCCATGTCCAAGTTACTGTAGATAGTGCTGCAATGAACACTGGGGTACATGTGTCTTTTTCAACCATGGTTTTCTCACACTGCATGTCCAATAGTGGGATTGTTGGGTCATATGGTAATTTTATTCCTAGTTTTTAAGGAATTTCCATATTGTTCTCCACAGTGGCCATATCAATTTATATTCCTACCAACAGTACAAGAGAGCTCCTTTTTCTCCACATCCTCTCCAGCATTTATTGACTGCAGATTTTTTTGATGACCAGTGTAAGATGATACCTCATCATAGTTTTGATTTACATTTCTCTAATAATGAGGGATGTTGAGCATCTTTCCATGTGTTTATTAGCCACCTGTTTGTCTTCTTTGGAGAAATGTCTGTTTAGGTCTTCTGCCCACTTTTTGATTGGGCTGCTTGCTTTTCTGATATTGAGTTGTTTGAGCTGCTTATACATTTTGGAGATTAATCCTTTGTCAATTACTTCATCTGCAGTTATTTTCTCCCATTCTGAGGGTTGTCTTCTCATCTTATTTATTGTTTCCTTTGCTGTGAGAAGCTTTTAAGTTTAATTAGGCCCCACTTGTTTACTTTTTCTTTTAATTTCCATTACTCTAGCAGGTGGGTCATGGAGGATCTTGCTATGATATATGTCACAGAGTGTTCTGCCTATGTTTTCCTTTTAGAGTTTTATAGTTTTTGGTCTTACCTTTAGATCTTTGATCCATTTCAAGTTTATCTTTGTGCATGGTGTTAGGAAGTGTTCTAATGTCATTCTTTTACACATATCTGTCCAGTCTTCCCAGCTCCACTTACTGAAGAAACTGTCTCTTCTCCACTGTATATTCTTGCCTCCTTTATCAAAATTAAGGTGCCCATAGGTGCATGGATTTATTTCTGGGCTTTCTATCTTGTGCCATTGGTCTGTGTTTCTGTTTTTGTGCCAGAACGATACTGTCTTGATGACTGTAGCTTTGTAGTATAGTCTGAAGTCAGGAAGGTTGATGCCTCCAGCTCCATTATTCTTTCTCAAGATTGCTTTGGCTATTCAGGGTCTTCTGTGTTTTCATATGAATTGTGAGACATTTTGTTCGACTTCTATGAAAAATGCCATTGGTAGTTTGATCAGAATTGCACTGAATCTGTAGATTGCTTTGGGTAGTATAGTCATTATCACAATATTGATTCTTCCAATCCAGGAGCAAGACATATCTCTCCATCTATTTAGGTCATCTTTCTTTCATCAGTGTCCTACAGTTTTCTGTATACAGCTCTTTTGTCTTCCTAGGTAGGTTTATTCCTAGGTATTTTGTTATTTTTGTTGCAATGATAAATGGGATTGATTCCTTAATTTCTTTCTGACTTTTCATTGCTAGTGTATAGGAATACAACTGACTTCTGTGTCTTAATTTTATATCCTGAAAATTTACTAATTTCACTGATTAGGTCTAGCAATTTTCTGACAGTATCTTTAGGCTTTTCCATGTATAGTATCATGTCGTCTTCAAACAGTAAGAGTTCTACCTCTTTTCCAATTCTAGATTCCTTTTCTTTTTCTTCTCTGTTTGCCATGGCTAGGACTTCCAAAACTATGTTGAATATTAGTAGCAAGAGTAGGCCCCCTTGTCTTGTTCCTAGTCTTAGTGGAAATGCTTTCAGATTTTCACCATTGAGGATAATGTTTGCTGTGGGTTTATCATATGTGGATGTTATTATGTTGAGGATTTTTGCATCTATGCTCATCAGTGATATTGGCCTGTAATTTTCTTTCTGTGTGATGTCATTATCTGGTTTTGGTATCAAGGTATTGGTGGCCTCATAGAATGAGTTTGTACATGTTTCTTCCTCGGCAATTTTTTGGAAGAGTTTAAGGACAGGCATTAGCTCTTCTCTAAATAGTTGACAGAATTCACTTGTGAAGCCATCTGGCCTTAGGCTTTTGTGTTTGGGGAGATTTCTTTTCACAGTTTCAATTTCAGTGCTTGTGATAGGTTGTCCATAATTTTCTATTTCTTCCTGGTTCAGTCTTGGAAAGTTAAACTTTTCTAAAAATCCGTCCATTTCTTCAGGTTGTCCATTTTACTGGCATATAGTTGTTTGTAATAGTCTCTTATGATTCTTTGTATTTCTGCATTGTCTGCTGTGACCTCTCCTTTTTCATTTCTAATTTTGTTGATTTGAGGCTTCTCCGTTTTCTTAATGAGCCTGGCTCATGGCTTGTAAATTTTGTTTATCTTCTCAAAGAATCAGTTTTTAGTTTTATTAATCTTTACTATCATTTCCTTCATTTCTTTTCATTAATTTCTGCTCTGATCTTTATGACTTCTTTCCTTCTACTAACTTGGGGATTTTGGGTTCTTCTTTTTCCAGTTGTTTTACATGTAAATTAGGTTGTCTATTTGATGTTTTTCTTATTTCTTGAGGTAAGATTGTATTGCTATAAACTTCCTTCTTAGAATTGCTTTTGTTGCATACCATAGGTTTTGAGTCATGTCTTTGTTGTTATTTGTTTCTAGGAATTGTTTTATTTCCCCTTTTATTTCTTCAGTAATCTGTTGGTTATTTAGAAATATATTGTTTAATCTGAATATATTTGTGCTTTTTACAGTTTTTCTCCTGTAATTAGTATGTAGTCTCATAGCAGTGTGATTAGAAAAGATGCTTGATACTATATCAATTTTCTTAAATTTACCAAGGCTTGATTGGTGACCCAAGATGTGGTCTATCCTGGAAAATGTTCCATGTGCACTTGAGAAGAAAGTGTATTCTTCTGCATTTAGATACAATGCCCTAAAAATTTCAATTAGGTCCATCTGGTCTAATGTGTCATTTAAGGCTTTTATTTCCTTATTAATTTTCTGTTTTGATGATCAGTCCATCAGCATAAGTGGGGTGTTAAAATTCCCCTACAATTATTGTATTACTGTCAATTTCCCCTTTTATGTCTGTTAGTGTTTGCCTTATATATTGATATGCTCCTATGTTGAGTGCATAAATACTTACAATTGTTATGTCTTCTTGGATTGATCCCTTGATCATCATGTAGTGTCCTTCCTTATCTCTTCTATTAATAATATTCTTTATTTCATGGTTTATCTGATTTGAGAATTACTACTCTACTTTTCTTTTGATTTCCATTGGCATGGAATATCTTTTTCTATCCTCTCATTTTCAGTCTGTATGTGTTTCCAGGTCTGAAGTCAGTCTCCTATAGACAGCATACATATGAGTCTTGTTTTTGTGTCCATTTAGCCAATCTGTGTCTTTTGGTTGGAGCATTTAATCCATTTACACTTAAAAGTAATTATTTATATATATATATACATATATGTATATATACATACATATATGTATATATGTGTGTATATATATATATGTTCCCATTGGCATTTTCTTAATTGTTTTGGGTTTGTTTTTGTAGGTTTCCTTCCCTTATGTTTTCTGCCTATAGAAGTCTCTTTAACATTTGTTGTATGCTAAATTCTCTTAACTTTTGCTTGTCTTTAGCTTTTGATTTCTCCATCAATATTCAATGAGATCCTTGCTGGGTAAAGTAATCTTGGTTGTATATTTTTCCCTTTCAGAACTTTAAATGTATCCTGCCATTCCTTTCTGGCCTGCAGCTTCTGCTGAAAGATCAGCTGTTAATCACATGGAGTTTCCTTTGTATGTTATTCGCTGCTTTTCCCTTGTTGCTTTTAATATTGTGTTTAATCTTTGCTAGTTTGATTAATATATGTCTTGGTATGTTTCTCCTTGGGTTTAGCCTCAATGGGACTCTCTGGGCTTCTTAACACTTGATGGACTATGTGCTTTCCCATGTTAGGAAAATTTTCAACTATAATCATTTCAAAAATTTTCTCAGACTCTTTCTTCTTTTATTCTTCTGGGACCCCTATAATTTGAATGTTGATGCATTTAATATGTGACCAGATGTCTTTGAGATTATCCTCTATTCATTTCATTCTTTTTCCTTTATTCTGCTCTTCAGCAGTTATTTTCACCAT